CACTTGAGCCCAGGAGTGAGAGGCTGCAGTGAGCTAGGCTGACATCACGGCACTCCAGCCTGGGCTACACAGTGAGTCCCTGTCTCAAAAAAAAAAAAAAAAAAAAAAAAACACCAATTAGACAAAGAGCTGATCTTTTGACAGCAACAAGAGACCAAAGGCAGCTGACCCCCTCGCAAAGTCCTTCTTGGCAGAAGAAAACCGCACCTCACGGCAAGGATCACAGACGGCCTGAGACCTCACCTTCAACACTAATAGGGACGAAGAGACCCACAGTTCCCCAAAATTCACCGGTGCAAACGCACAGGGCTGAGTTTTGGCGGCAGGAGCTGGGGAGCGAGAGGGTCCGTGGGGTCTGCAAATGTTCGGATCGTGGAACCCCCCCCACCTCCCCACGCGTACCCCGCCCTGCCCACGTCTCGCATCATGCATTCCGTTTCTCACGGAAAGGATCTTCAGACCTTTCCGGAATAACAAATTCCCCTCTCCAAAGTAAATACGGAGTAGGTGGGCAGGCTGGGAAGGACGCGGCTCTCTTAAGGAAGGGCCAACGCTACGGTTTGCTTCTTGGGCTTTGTAGAAGATGCTCATCCTCACAGCTGTTCGCGTCATCTGCCGTGACCTGAGTTGACCTGCGTTGACCGGGTGTGACCTGCGCCAGGCATGAATGAATTGCTTCAGCTACCTGCTCCTGGACTGGAAAGCACACGGTGAGCAAGAAGCCAGGGTCGTGCTTGTGCTTGCCCAGATGCTGAGCGGAAGCCTGTTGCTAAGAACATGACGTCACTTGGCCCCTCCGTAAACACGCACATAGACGCACCACACTCGAGCGAGTCAGGGAGCGACACCCGGCCTGCGGCAGCACCTCTGAGCCCTTCTCCTTGAGCAGCCCGTGTGCTCGGCTAACGCTGACGAGCAGATCCCGGGTAGCCGCCGAGATGGAGAGACACTGGAGATTCAGGGATTCAGGTGGAGTTCGCCTCTGCCAGCGGTCAGTTACCTGCTTCGAGACGCCGCAACTGCGCCCTGGAAACACCTCTCCTTTGCCAGCTGGTGGCGCATTAGGCTTTGTGCACGAGGATGCTGCAGAGACAGGCGAGGCGCGGGCACACACAGAGCAAGGGCGCGCCAGGGCCTCTCTCCCGGGGAGGGCTGGGGTCGTCCGAGCTGCCCCACAGCAGAGTGCGGGGAGCGGGCGGCGCTCACTCTGCCACCCGAGCGCTGCTTCCCGGGGACCAGTTAGCTCCAGCTGCAGGCGCTCGCTGGGGACTCGCGGCCACCTGGTGGGAGGTTCTGTGGCCCAGTTCTGCTCCTCGCGCGCCCCCTGCAGAGCTGCTCAGACAGCGGGCAGGCTGCTTCTCAGACCAGCCTCGCCACGGCCTGTGTTGACGCGTCCGCCGGTGTGTGCCCCGGGGCAGGCGAGGCTCTCCGGCCAGGGCTGCGCCTCAGGCTCGGGGGCGAGGTCTCCTCTTCCAGCTCCCAGGTCCCTCCTTGCCCACTGTCCCTGGTCCACAGAGCTGGACACCGCTGCCCACACGTGCGATTCCCGACTCCTCAGCCTCCCCCGTACCGACTTTTATTAGCGAAAAACATCTTCAAACTGTCTCTGTTCGAGTAGCTGGTGTGATTTCTGTCTCCTGACGGTGCCCGGACAGACGCAACGCCTCCCCACCTACCGTGTTAAGGGAATACACGCGTGAACCCGTCAGGCTTAAACCGCCAGTGTGTTTCCCAGTCCCGCTCCCGGCGCTCTGTCTCCCAGGGCGGGGTGTTCCCTGTGACCAGGTCGAAATGGAAACGGAACTAAGACTGGAATCACGGATGCACAATAGCGTAGCTCAAGAGAACTCAACAGACCCGAATGGAAGGGATGCTCTGCACAGAGCAGCGCGGGGACCAAAACCAGCACGCGGTTCCCGGACGGCCCAGAGCCGGGCAGGGCCGCTTCCCCGCTCAGTGCACCAGCTCAGTGCATAAGGCCGTCCTGCGGAGTCCGGCGGCAGCCCAAGCCCTGTTCCGAGGTGACACGCTATGCTGGCTACCCCTCGCTGTCAGCTGCCTGGGCCACCCCTGGGGGACGTCCCAGTGGTCTGCTCAGCAGGCATTCCAAGCGCCCTGCCCGCTCTGGTGGGGGCGCGAGGTCAGGATCGCTGTGCTGCCTCTCTGGGCTCCCGTCTCTGGCCAAGCACAACGAGCTGGGGACCCTCGGCACCCCGCCAAGCCTGCGGCCGACTCTCACACGCCCTCAGGAGGCCCCTGGGACGCTGCGCAGATGTGCGCACGCAGGGCTGGGGCACGTGTCCGCTGCAGATGTAAACGCTGCCTGTTTTTTCCTGTTCTCTGTTTATTTAATAATTGATGCAACTGCCCGTTAATGGAGACTGCTCTGTCCCACTGCAGCCACCCGTCCCCGCTCTGCTCCCTGCACCTCCCGCTGCGCCCTCCGGGCACCGCCGTCCTTGCTAACAAACAACCCCCGCTTCCCTCCAGCTCAACCTAAGCTTGCCCCTTAACCCCCAGGGGTGGAGGATGACCCCATGGTCAGGAGGGGGTCTGGCGTCCCCCTCTGCAAGTGCCTCCGGTTCGCTTTGCCCACCCTGACCTGAGCCCGACGGCTCTGCCTGGGCCCCGCTGCCGGCGTGGGGGGCTGTCCTCCTGCCGCCCCCTCACCACGGGGGACTCTGGAAACCGCTACAGCTACCATGAGGTCTTCTTCCTCCCCCTCCCAAGCCCCAGCCGCCCTCCTGCCGCCTCCTCGGCCTGTCCCCTCGTCGCCACCTGCCCCTGCTCCGCAGCTGGGCTCCCAAGCACACTCACACCCGGCCCACACCAACAGCTCCTGCCAGAGGCCACAGCAAACACCTCAGTCCTTGATGCATCTGCTTTGTGCTCTCTTCCCGTCCCACACTGAGGGCCCAGCCCCTTCTCATTAATGTAAATCCAGGCACATATGCAGAGACAGCCAGGTCCTCTCGATCCTAGGATCCCTGGAGAGGGGGCTGGAAGCTGGTGGGAAGCACAGAGCGTGGGCCTCAAACGTGCCGCCAGGTCTGATTCCTGCTCCCGAGACGGCTCTGCTACTCAGCAGGAGGCGGCCCTGGGCAAGCTGCCCTACCTCACCGCGCCTCAGTTTATTTACCTGTGAAATGGGAGTGAGAACGCTAGCTCCTTCTGAGGGCCACTGAGAGCATTAAATGGACGCTCTGAGCTGGCGTATGGGAAGCTCCCGTGAGGGTTAGCTTAGCTGTCAGTACCATCATCATCGTCACCATGACCTCAGTGGGAGCCAGTGCCAAGGAAACTGCAGAAATGGCAGCTGCGCCTAGAGCTCCATGCATGTGACCGACCCTGTTCTTGTCCCTGTGCGGTGGCCTCTTCCCGGGGCTTTGTCCTTCCTGGGACCTGTCTCCACTTACACTCGGGCCTGGCGTTCGCTTAGTGGGGACGAGACAGATGCACGGAGCTAAAGGCGCTGGTTGTCAGGGCAGGGAGGTGGCCCGCCCCCACCCCCACCCTGTCTCGTCACGGCCACAGCGCGAGGCTCCAGGGCCCTGCGGGGGACGCAGGTCAGTTCTGCTCTGCAGCCTCTCCCGGCCCAGCAGACACGAGGACCATCCTGGCTTCAGCCCCAAGGGCCTGTGGCTTCTGCCCCCGCAGCACCGCCCTGCCCGCCTCCCTCTACCTGCCTGTGCCCCCTGCCTCGACTCGGACTGTGCCCTTCGCTGGGCGGGGCCGGGGCTCCCCGCTCTGTCCGGCAGTGAGTCCGCAAGGCCTGGCGCTGAAGGCTGTTGAGTACGTCAGCGCCTTTGAGTGGGTCGGGACCAGGTGCCTTTGCACAGGGCCCCCCAGCAGGCGGCCAGGGTCTCCCCACACCCGGGCGGGGCAGCCAGACAGAGAAGGTTCTCAGCGAGACCGGGGGGAGCTGGTGCTCTCCGGGAGTCGGAGGTCCCCAGCTGAGCACCCGGCTGACGGGAAAGCAGCCGCCTCTGCTTCTCCCTCCCGAAACAGGCGACTGCGCTTCTGAACTCAGCTTCACGGAATGACGAGGCGACGTCAGGTAAGAGCCGCACTTGGGACCACAGCCAGGGACCCGGGACTGATGCTGGAGGGGCCAGCTGGCCCCAGGGGGCAGGGAAGGCTGAGCCCCAGGCCCCCGGGCTGGGCGGGTGGTGGGGGGACCTGCTGCTGTGCCAGGTGGAGGTGGGCGGCAAATGCACCTCGCGGGCTGGGCTGGGGACGGCACCGCCTTTCTCGTGAGCCTGACAGACAGGCGGCTTAAATGAAGCTTTCACCTTGCCACACGGGCTTTCGGATGTTTGGGTCCAGCTTCCTGCTCACCTGAGAAAGCCCAGTGCTTCAGGGAAAAGGCCTGTGGGCCACACTGTTGGGCATCGCCCAGCGACAGCCCCCACAGAGAGAGAGAGAGGACAGAGAGAGGGAACAGGCACTGGGTTCTCCCCAGGACCCGGGTTCCTCGCAAGCCCCTCCTGGGGGGCAGTGGAGGCCCCGCAGACCTGTGAGGAGGTTCACTGAATCCAGGCCCAGTGAGCAGCGCTGGTCCTTAACCCTTTGTGGCCTGAGGTTTCATTAGCAAACCTAAGACAGGTGTTCTGACAGGAGACAGGATCCCTCTCTTAATGTTAACAAGAGAGAGAAAACTTTACAGTGTTAGTCACACAACTGATTGTCCCTGTAACCATTCTCTAGTTTTTTGAAACGAGACTATCGGGTTTTTGATTTAGGGGACCGAAAATCCTTGCCAAGGGCTGTAAAGGGCTGAAACAGCCTGCAGGTCACATGAGCACAAGGACACAAGCCCAGTCCTTGGAAATGGAAACAGCAAATCACGAGGCCAAGGTCGAAGCGCCCGGTCTCTTAGGAACACCGCAGGCCTCCGCTTGGAAACCTCCAGGAGCTCGGGGCTCCGCCCCCCGACTCACGATGCTCAGAGGCGTTTCCGCTGCCTCTCCCAGGACTGCCTCCCCTCGCTCCCCACCTACCGAAGCCGGGAGTCCTGTTGGCGAGGCCGGAGTAGGCATTCCCGCTGGGCGAGGAGGTAGCCGGGCTGGAGAGGGGGCTGTAAGAAGAGGGGTCCGCCGGGTAGCTGTGGCTCGTTCCGATCCCAAAGGGAGACGACTGGGTCTTGCTGGACTGAGAGGGGATTAGCTGCAGTCAGGACAAGGCGAAGAGATGGGCGCACCACCAGCAGACCTCCCGCTGCCCCAGGCCGGTCACTGTCCCCGGCAGGCGCAGCAGGCAGAGGCAGTGCCTGCCTAGGGTGACAGTGGCTCCCTGTGGCCCTCCCGGCTGGCGGGGCACAGGCCTGGGATCAAGCTGATGTGTGGGGGCCCAAGAACTGCAGGGTCTTTGAGGCCGGTCTGGCTGTTGAAGGGACCCCCAGGGCCACAGCGACCTGGGCCCTCTGGCTTCTGGTTCTGGGGCCCTGGTGTCATGAGCAGTTAGAACCCTCAGCCCAATTGACACCCGTCTCACAGTGACTGCGGGGGAGCCGGGTGCGCCGCACGGGTGGGTGTTCTCATGCCCGCCTGGCGCAGGAGCAGCCAGAGGTTCAGACAGTGGAAGGGGGCTCATTCCTGATGGGGTGTCTCTGCCCCGCCCTGCTCGCTGCCAGGGCGAGGCTGTGAGGAGCAAAGGCGGCAGAGGTCACACGTGGCGCCAGGTTTGGGGCCTTAGCTCTCCGAGCCTTTGGGGGCAGCTGCTGCCGGGGTGGTCGGCCCCAGCTGGGAGCTGCCCCGGAGCCGGGACCCAGAGAAAGCACGTCCCAGAGCGCCCTGCCTCTCCGGGCTTCGGGAACACCCGCACAGACACCCATACCTGTCCCGGGAACGGCGGCCGACTCCCCGCCCACGCCACCTGGCTCTGGTTTAGCTGCCGGGAGATCTGGGACATGTTCTGGCCTGTCGAGGAGGAGGACGGGATATCGTTCACTCCGGGCACGTGAACCACTGAGGAGCTGGAAGGGAAGAAGATGCGTTTGCCCGAGTGGCCGCCTGGCCGCCTCCCCGCACGCTGTCTCCGTGCGACACGTGACAACGACACTGGCTGAGCCCCAAAGCTGGGCTGTCCGGTGCGCCCTCCCCTCGCCCTACCCGACGCGTCCGGCACCGTGCCCTCCTCAGCCTCGCCCCAGCCCTGCGCGTCCCGTGCTCTGGGCGGGTGAGCGGGTGGTTCGGTTTCCGGGAAGAGAGACGCTGTGGGCGCGAGAGTCCATCTCGCGGCCGACGCCTCCTCCGTGCCGGCTCGGCTGCTCCTTCCAGGGTCTCCGGCGTGGCTGTTGCTTCGTTCCGAGCACCAAGAAGAGCCTGGAAACCTGCAGGACGGGCCTGGTCCTCCACCCAGAGCCTGCCTCTTCCACCTTCAGTTTATCATGGCCTGAACTCAGCATGTCTGTATTAGGCACCTGCTGTGTGCAGTGCTCTGCATGTTCCTCGCAGGCTGGTGCCCTGAGCCTGTCCTCCCGCGCCATCTGCACGGCTAGGCGCCTCCTCCAGGGAGCCTCCCCCTGCGCGAGGACGGGGAGGTTGAGGCAGACGTTCGCTTTGTTCAGGCCCCGCCTCCTGCCGGCAGCTCTGCACGCAGGGCCCGTGCTGGGTCCCAGGAACCAGCCGAGTGGCGGGAGCGGGTAGTCACAGAGGCTTTTGGTGCCGGTGGATTTTCAGCTCAGCTTTGGGAGAAAGGCGGACTGTAGACCCGTCAGAAGACTGGGCACAATTTTACTGATTTTACTTCCCGTGTTCTGACGTTTTTTCTACACCGATCCCTCTTAAAATGGGGAGAAACCGAGAGCGTCAGACACAGCCTTGCGCTGGCCGGTGCGGGCACGCTCAGCTGCGCAGGTAGAAGGAGGCATTTTCATCTTCCCAAGGTCAATTCCTGACTTAACGCCAGAGCTCCTGTCCCATTCTCCTTCCTGACCAACGTGTGACTTCCGAGGGCGTTTTCTGACCGCTCTTGTCGGGGAGGGCCTCTCCCGCACCCTCCAGCGTCCTCCCCACAGGACGCTGACCGGCGAGGACCAGCTATAGCATCGCTGGCCCTGGACAGGTGCCCTGGCTGAAGGGACAGGCTTCTTGGGGCAAAGGGCCGGCCCCTGTGCCCAGCCCCCCAGGACCCTCGGGCCACCCTGGCACAGACGGCAGGGGCCACAGCGGCAGGACTCTGGGCGAGGACGCAGCGTGGGGCCAGCAGTGCCATTCCTTGGGCAGCTCGGGGCTCCCTCTGGCCGCGTCAGCCCAGAGTCCTTCGACCCCGGCCCGCGCCGGCCCAGCCTTCCAGACGTTCCGTCGAGTCTGCCCATGCCCCAGGCTGTGGCCGCACAGGCGTCCTCCCGTCCCCTCGCCTCGCAAGCCAGCGTTCGGCAAGCGCCGTCCCCGTGCCAGGCCTGCACAGGCGCTCGGGCACTGCCTGGACCGTCCCCACACAGCCGGCCACCCGAGCTGTCGCTGCCCTCCACGTGCCCCACTGCTCTGCCCCCACGACAGCTGCCTCACCCGGCTCTGCGCCTCGCTGCGCCGTCCGTCCTGGGCATGGCCGCGGCCTCCCTCCTCCCTGTCGGTGATGCTGTCCGCCCAGCGCGGCCCCGGCGCCCACCGCAGCCTCATCCTTTGCCTCTCCCTCCACGCGGCCTCCCCTGGCCTCGCCTCCTCCCGGCTGTGCTCAGCCTGTTCCCAGGCCCGTGTGCCGCCCCACCAGGACGCAGAGCTGACTTCTGCTCCCAGACGTAGCTGAGGGGGTGGCTAGGCCCTCTCTGGCCAGTCTGGCTGCCGTCCCCTCGCCCCGAATGCTGTCCCTTCCTCAGCTCTTGCTGCTGCACCCTCCCTGCTCCCCTCGTCCAGAGAAAGGGACGAGCAGCAGTGTCACAAGGAGCCCAGGGACATGAGTGGGCAGGGCTGGGACAGTGTGTGGCTGGGGCACCCGGTGGCACAGGGGAGTCTGAGGTCCTGACCGATGCTCAGCAGAGCCATGTGACCTGCGGTGACACGGGTCAGGGGCTGCCACCTCGTCTTGCTGTCCCCAGGCCAGAGGTCTCAGAGCCCAGACCGAGTCCCGCGGCACCGAGCTGTGGGACTGGCCAGGGCCACTCCAGGGCCTGCTGATCCAGGTCGCAGGCGCTGAGCCGCCCACGCGTCTCCAGGAGTCTGTGCGCGAGTCCTCATCCCCGAGTGGCCAGGGCACCCTGGTGCCAGCTGCGCCCGCTGGAGATGGGGCTGTGTGAGAAGACCTGCCTGCCAGGCACCGGGTCTGGGGAGCCCGGGGGCGTCTGGTGGGCACATGCGAGGGCCCGCACAGCCTCCCCGAGGACTGCCAGCCTCTCCTCTGGCTGCCAGCCTCTCCTCTGGCTGTCCTCCCAGGTCATGCTTCTGTGTCCCCAGCGGTCCCTGGAGCCAGGCTTGCCTGGTGATATCAGGGCTTCCTGGTGACCTCCAAGAACCAAGCCCTGGGAAGGCCGGACACCTGCCTGTACCCTTCGGCACCCTGCGGGCTGATGCCAGACGTGACGGGCTGAGGCGTCCACTCTTCCTGGACTTGGCCATGGCCTCTGGGAACCAGGGGACAGGATACTCCCTGCCACCTTGTCAGCTGTTCCCAGCTTGGCCCCACCTGGGACCCGGCCGACTTACTCCCTTATACCCAGCAGGCACCGCTACGGAACACAGTGGCTTCCACGTCAACTCACACCGAGCATCTGTGGCAACTCGGGGAGGCTCACAGAGCTGCCGGCAGCCCCAGCGTGGCCCAGGGCCGGCGGGCCAGGGACCGCTACCTGACGTTAGTCAGGGCCTCCCTGGCACGTACCTGAAGGCCTTCCCCGAGTGTCCGGGGGGGAACGGGCTCCCCTGGGAGTAGATCTGCTGGCTTCCTGCCGCGGACGCCGAGCTCATCATCTTCTTCTCCGCTAGGAAAACAGAGCAGGAGTCACTCATGAAGGTTCCCCGCCCTGCAGACCGCAGGGGAGGCCACCGGAGAATGGCGGGGGTGCGTGGAGAGCAGGAGGACACACGCCGGGGCAGCCACCCGCACGCGGCCCCCGCTGCCCTCCCCCTGCACCCGCATCTCCTGGGGCCTCCCTGGCACACCGAGCACCCGAGCAAGGCCCTTTGCGAGCGTCGGGAAGGTTAAAGGAACGAGTGACGGCTCCTTCCCAGACACCGCGTCCCCCCATCCTGCCTCCCCGCAGGGTCGCAGAAGCCCCGGGGCAGGTGGAGAGGATCCTCTGACGCGCGGTCCCTGTGCTCGAACCCCAGCTCCGCCCTATTTATCAGCGATGCGACCCGGACCTGCCATTTCGTCATCCTCCGCCTCAGCCTCCACCACTGAAAGAACGGAGAGCGGCCCACTGAGGTCTCGCACTACAGCGTGGCTTCATCCGCATCTTCCTGTGTTTCTGATCACTCTGGTTTCCGCGTGTTTCAATGTGCATGACGTTTGTTAATGCGTGCTTATTTTAGGTTACATCTTGTATCTGTATAAAATAAGCCTCTTTGCCCACTGGACACGAGATTGTTCTGTGGTGACACTGACAGCTCTGCTCTCTGCTTGGGTTTGCAGAGCATCTCCTGCGCTCACTCCTGCGCGTTAAATAGTTGCTTTCACTTTGTTTCGTTGCGTCGTATCTGGCAGCGTGTTACTCGGCTACTGGCCGGGAGTCAACTTATTTTTGTCACTATTGATAGTCATACTTTCTGGCTAACTCACTTAATTTTCTTCTATTTTGTGATTTGCTAAACATTTTCTTGTCTTTCCTTGGAAGTGATTTGGAGCAAGACTTCCTTCCCTCCCTCCCTTCCTTTCTCTCCCTGCCATCAGGGCTTACGTTTACATACTTGCAGCCACATTCCTCTGTGAATGTGGGAGATCAAGCAGTATATACCGATGAGGAGTTTCTATCTGTTTCCCACCCCCAGTCCAAAATGTGTCTGGGTCTTTGTTGAACTGATTTGAGATTTTAGACTCTCGATTTTATCTGTCGTTTAGATCTTTTGTATATTCTAATAATTTTTACGTCAATTCTAGGGGATGCTAGTTTCGTTTTTCATCCCACTGCTTTTCCAACCTATCACGTCCACTCTTGTCTTCTATATTTTGATTCGCTTCACAAACAAGCACAATCTTTTGCAAGTAATTTTTTGGGGAAGTATAATTAGTGCATGTCTGAGAATGTCTCTCTGTTGTTCCCCATACATGAAAGAAGCTTGGCTGGTGGGAAAATTGGGGGTCACACACTTTCTTCCAAATTCTCTAGATATTTCCCCCCACTCCCCCAGACTCTGGTAACTAGTGTCTCAGAGAAGCCTAACTAAAGGTTTCCCTTTGTCGGTAAGGTAATTTTTTTCCCCCAATATTTGCAGATTTTTTTCCCTTATTCTTCATATTTACAAAAGTAAATACAACAGACCATGTCTAGGTGTGAGCTTCCTTAAAACTTCTGGTCTAGGATTCACTGTGCTTTTTCAGTTGGAAGACCCAAGTTTTGCATTTTGGGAAAATCCACGTTTCATACTAATTCACTGACTTGGATTTCTCACCATTCGTCTGCTCTGCACTAACTCCCCACTGTCAAACCTCTGCTTTCCTCCACACGCAACTTCTTGGAAATGCAGGGATGCCCTGGAACCCTCTGGAGAAGAAACACTCAGGATTTCCTGCGCTTTCTCCTCTTTACCAAGAAAGTCCATTTCCAAAGGGGGACGTCTGTGCTGATTCCTCCCGTCGGACCCTCTCCCTCTTCTTTTTTTCTCATCTGCTGGTCTTTTGTTTGTTCTGTCACCTTCACGGGACGGTGTCTATGTTTGCACATCACTGAAAGTTCACACGGTGTCTCAGAGACGCTGGGGTCTCTGAACAAATATGTCAGGCTTGTTTTGAGAGAAGAAAAAAACTTCCAGATGTTCTGTTGTGCCCTCTTGTTGACGAAATGACGTTTCTCTGTAAGGGAACTACGACGTAGGAGGTGGCACGTCCGCATGGCCTCGGGACCAGCCGCGGGGCTTCCCCGTCGTGCTGCGGGTCTGCGTCCTGCTCGTGTTGGCAGCTGGGCTTGGTGCTGAGCTGCACCTGCGGCCCTCAGCAGGAAGCAGCCTGGGGACCCTGCCTGGTTCCTGGGCATCTGGTGCACGGCCAGGGGGACGACGGCTTCGTCTGCCCCCAACGCGCTGGCGTCAGGACTGAGGTGTGCTCCCTCCGCCACCGGAGGCCTGTCCTCACCTCGGTCCACACTGTCTCCAGCTCATCAGTCTCAGCAGGACACAACTGGGGTTCCCTTCCCTCGATGACAGGGCTCCCCTCGATGACAGGGTTCTCCACGCTTCCTGCTCATAAGCCCACTGGTTTCTCCCTTCAGCGGATCCTGACCACGTTGTATCTTGCAAACATTCCTTGACCACATGAAATGGAATATTTTTTTCTGATTTTGGACCTAACAAAGACCTTTCCGAATTTTGTATTTTGCTAATCTCAGTGGTAATGAGCGTGGGAGGGTGAGCAGCCGGACACGCGGGCTCCCCATGCCACCTTAAACGAGAGCGGCCCCGTCTCCTCTGAGCAGCGCAGCATAGGCAGGCGGCCCAGGGGCTGCCGGAGAGGACTAACCAAGTCTGCGCTGTGCAAGGGATAAAAATGACTCGGGTAGTTCAATGGTCTGGGGACATGCTCACGCGAACTGGCACGTGAAAGCAGTAAGCTGCTGGACAGCGCGAGCTTAATTTCAGATATAAAACGAATATATCTGTGTAGACAGAAACAGAACGGATGTACTTCAAAAAGTTAAAGATGGTTGTACCCAGGTGGTAGGATAGCGGACCATGTTTGTTTTTCTTTTTTACTGCACATTTCCTGTGCGTGTTAGGGATTGAGTCGCAACTTTTTACAGAGATGTGTCTTTGGCTAAAACTAAACTGCACGATGGAATAATAGCGCCCACTTATTTCAGCTCCTCGAGTTGTGAAGACGAGATGCCAGGCCCCGCTGGGTGCCCAGGCAGCCGGCACGAAAGAGGCCAGGCCAGGAGTAGCGAGGATCTGCTCCTTCCCCCGTATTTAGGCTTCTCTTACGCCCTGCGGGGGCTACTCGAAACTCAGCACCGTGGCCCCCTCCTCTAGACGGCCTGGAAACCCCACATCCTCACGACCTCAGTGCCGCGTGGAAACTTACATGCACCGATTCCTGCGAACATTTCCGCAAACCGAGGGTCTCTTTCCTGGGAGAAGATCGCATCTGCCTTTTCCACGGGCTTCCCGGCCTCGTGAACACCGGCTGGTAGGTTGGGGACAGGGACCTGTGTGCACACGGAGACACGACAGCAACCCTGTGTGAGGCGCAGAGCTTCCATCCCGGGAGTCCCCAGCGCTCCCCCCTCAGCGCCCCTCCCTCTGGAATCACTGGCATTTCAGGCTAGAACGTTCTACAGGGTGCGGGAGCTTTTCTATATGTGAAGGCCAAGAAGCGCCGGGGAGCGGGATGTGGACTGAAGGTCACAGAAAGGACAACGAAGTCACACTGATCACTTTCTTAGAGAGATAAATGAAAAACCATCAACTTACTGTAAATACCAGGAAAAGTGGACATAAAGTTTAATTTAGGGAAGAGGCCAGATTCGGACCCAGCCCGCAGTTTCCTGCCTGCCCAGCTGTCAGACGCAGCGGGAGGAGACGGGGAAGGAGACACAGCAAGAGAGGCAGAGCCGGGCAGGAAGCGGACACGGAGGGAGAAGAGGACACGGACGGCAGGGAAGGGCTGGGCGGCCGGAGGACCGCAGAGGTTCAGAGCCTGCTTTTGCTGCTCCTGAGGACGCCGGTGCACGAGCTCATGCGTGGCCTTCTGACACGTCCACCGGCCCCTGGAGACGCCCAGGGCCGGTTGCCTGTGGTGCCCGTTCTCCGCCTGGGCTCCGCGGGCCGTGCGCTCTTCCCAGCCCTGCTGCGCAAGCGAGAGCCACGGCAGCCGCTGGGGCACCTGCAGCCGCTCTGCGCGCTGAGGGGGGGACGGGGCGGCAGCACCCTGTGGGCTGAGGGGCTCTAGCTAAGGGCTGAACCGAGTCCCCAGACCACTGGGCTGGAGACAGTTCCAGTCGGGAAAGAACGTCACAGAAACTCACCTGGGACAAGTCATACGATGAGAGCCCGTCTCTCTGGTGCACCTCCAGCTCTGCCTGCTGCTGCTGAAGTTGCCTGGGAGACAAGACGACGACGAAGAGAGTCACGGAGCACAGGCAGCTGACCGCGGGGCAAGGCGGGAACTCTCCCCGTTCCCACAGGCACAGCGGCGACACCCAGTGGCTCTCTAAACTGTTTTCCACTTTTAATTGTTTTATTTTTGATGCCCCAAATCAGGACTCCACAGCCTGTACTTCGAGTGAGGCTGCTACGCTGTTTAAGAAAACCATTTAAGAGAACAACTTTGACACCCGGGGGCAGCTACTCCATGCAGGCAGAAATCACCATGAAAAGTCATCCCCCAAGAACTCAAACCTGCCTCCCTACAACTTCCATTTTGGGGTTCCAATTCTGCCCCTGGAGAAACACAAAATAAGTTGGATCCTGTTTCTGAACCTTTTCTTAGCATTACAGAAGTGCAGGATCTGAACACGTTTCCTCCTCTAGCCAAGCCTCGCGCATGGTGCCCTGTGTGAACGTCCGCAGGGAGGACGGTTTAGACGAGGCCCCAGCGGGAGGACCTGCTGAGCAGTCATTGAGAGTTAAGCCCAGATTAGTCCACTCAGCGAGCCGCACTTAATGGTGTCACTGCACACGCGGCTCAGAATCCGCCGGACTCCTGCCCCACAGGACGGACAGTCTCGGGGAGACAGACGGGGGGCAGGCAATGGCAGCGTGGGGAGTCAGGACCGCGGCGCAGGAAGAACGAGGCTCTGTCCGAGGACACAAGCTGCCTCTTAACCCCGGTGCCAGAGCCGGGAGGAAACGCAAAGGAGCAAACCCGCAGCGCGGTTTCCCGCCGGGCGGTCTCGGCCCACGCCGGCCATGCCAGCAGGTGGGGGCACTAACAGTAATTGTCAAAATAAGCTGACATTTAAAAAAATTTAAAATAATTAATATACTCGTTAATAGAAAATCGTAACTTTCTATATTTTCTTATTCTTACTCCATGGTTTTGCTTCGTTTTACTTTGGTTTACGTCTTGGGGGCACCATCATTTCTCACCTGTGGGGCCACGAAAATCAGAATGTGGGACCGGCAGCCGGTCCTTCGCCAACACTTTTACGTCCCTGCCATACTCCCGCGTTACAGATCGAGAAACTGAGGCCCAGGGAGTTTATGTGACGCGCCCGGTGACGTGGCCAGCATGGGGCGCACAGGGTTCAAGCCGCGGATCTGTCTGCCGTGCACTTTGCACTCTGTCCTCCTTCCGGCTGCTGCCCCAGCCCAGGACAGTGCCCCTGGCTGTAGCAGGAAGGTCGTCCCACGTCTCCCCGTCCAGAGCCTGGGCATACTGAGCCACCAGGAGGTTTCTGTGGGGTTGGAGCAGGGACCTCCCCTGCACGACAGGAATCCGTGGGCCACCCTCTACCCGCCCCTTTCGGAGCTCACTCCTCACCCTGCAAGCGTTTTTCCAGGAAATAACCACCGCTCCCACCTGCGGCGCAGCTGTGCCCAGCCCCAGCCCAGAATCCTAGGGAGTGGGCAGGGCCACTGAGGGGGGTTGTCAGCTGTGCCCCACGCCCGGCCTTCTCCGGGCCTGCTGTGTGCCCTGGGGAGCGAAGGCGGGGCTTCCGTTTGCATGAAGGCAGGAGAGGGGCCCTGGGCTTCAGGCTGGGGGTTTGCTCCCGTTCGCTCCTCCCTGGGCTCCAGACCGGAGAAAGGTCCTCTCACGGGGAAGTAGAACACAGGTCTCGGGCACGGCTGGCAAATCCCTGGGACCCGCACCTCGCCGGCTCTGGGGTCCGGACATCCACACCTGCACCGCTCGGGCTTCCGCTTCCACAGCTGAGCGCGCGGAAGAAAGCTGCTGACCCGTCCTGAGATAGAGCCCTGGGGAGGCTGCTCAGACGTTTCACGGCAAGGGTATAAAAATAAACCTCGGTGTGCTTGCGAATTCCAGGGAGGGAGAAAGCGGGGCTGCTGGGGGGAGGACGCGCGGCAGCCGGGCACGGCCTCCGTCAGCGGCCGTGGGGAGGACCAGCAGCCGGCTTCCTGCCGGCCAGGTGCAGGGTGCAGGGCAGAGGCTGTCAATCACCCCGACGCTCCCTGCAGCGAGGTTTTCACTCAGCCCAGTGAGTGAGCAGCCGCGGGGGCTGCGGAGGCAGCGCGAGGTCGGGCCTCTGGGAGTGACTGGAATTCGGTGGGAGCGTCTGGGCTCTGCGCGCTCCGACCGCGGACCGAGCGCCGTCACACGCCTATTCGAAGGACTCGGAATGCCCGGTAGGGGGACTGGAATTGCCTTGACCAGGGCAGGGCGCAGCGTGGTCCCGCGTGTGTTCTGAGAGAACGCGCTCCCCAGGGGCCTGGCGGAAGGCGGGGGCGAGGCTGGGACGACTGATGCTCACTTGCGGGACGGCAAAGGCTTCAGCGGCTTGGGCAGCAGAGGCAGAGGGTGAGACGGGCTGGAGAGAGGAGCCCAGACAGACCCGTGGGCCTGGTTCTGTGCCAGGTACCTGCTGAGGTGAGCGGGAGGGAGGCACCGGGCAGCTCCCGGGTTCGGGCTCTGTGACCGGGTGTGGCAGCCTCGTCCCGGCTGCTGTCCCTGCAGAGAGCAGGAATGAAACCTCCTTCTGTGCCCACCCTGCTCTGCCCACCCCGTCCACTGCCAGCCGGCACCGCGGGGACGCCTCGCTCGTGTGACGGTCGCTGGCTCGCGGGAAGACCACACGGTGTGTCGAGACGCACAGTCAGCAGCTGTGCCTGTGAGAAGCTGCGGTGGCTCTGGGACACTGCTGTCCCCGGGAAAAGGGCTTGGCCCGAACTTCGCACCCTCCCCTAAAGAGACGCTGGAAGAAGCTGGGTGTGCACAGGTGAACCCCGAGATGACTCACACGCAGAAACTGCCCGTGAGAGACTGTCGCCCCCGACACCCAGGCCTGTCTCCCGCTGAGACGAGGCTCATTTCGAAGCAGCGTGAGCAGCATTTAAATCCGTCTGTGCTCTTCTGGACTTCGTTATGTTGAAGGAAGAGGGAAGAAAGGCAGGGTGATAGAGACGTCTTCTCCGCGGCAGCTTTGCACAAGCGCTAAACATTAAACACTCGATTTCACCGGAAGTTTCTCTTGGATGCTCTTGACTGAACGCAACCGAGCTTGCAGGTTTTCCCCGCGAGCACAAGCACGTGAGGACTTTCTGCGGCGAGTCTGCCTGCCGCCGGCACAGCTGCGTCTCCCGATTCAGACAAGGCGGCCGTCACGTCCACGGCTGTCACTGCCCCTGCCGTCCACAGTGAACTCCTCCGACGACTTCGCCACGGAAGCCTCGCGTTCAGAGACACTGGATTCAGGCTTGGGGGTGACGCTGTCCCGAGGGGCACTCTGATGCTGGGGACCCCGAGGAGCTGTCCCCGGGAAATATGCAGGCACAGGCCCCGGACGAAACGGTTTTCCTGTGTTGTCAACACTGCCTGACGTTCAGAGGAGCAAAACCTCAGCCGGGCTTCGTTTTAAGGGGAGACGTTTGCTCTCCCCAAGCCCCACGCAGGGCTACCCCGGGTGCCTGCTCCGAGGCCCGGGGACAAGTGCTTGTTCTCTCCTCCCGTGTCCCCACGGATCTTGCCTGTGCCTCCTGCCGGCCCCTTCCCACGTTCTCCACGTTACTGGAGCCCGAGTCTCACCTGATGTCTGGAGTGGGGCCCCGACGGGGAGCATGGGCCTGGGGACACGGCCGGCTCGAGCAGGCGCTAAGCTGGCCCAGGCTGGCCTCCCTTCTGCTCTCCCTCCTGGGCAGCCCCATTGGGCAGTGGGCACACCCTGCCGGCTCTGTTCGGGCTCCTGGAAATGACCGGCCTGCTGAGCAAAGGCAGCGCCGTGCAGTCCGGAGCTCCGCGTCTCACCCGCACTCTGTGTCTCAAGCTTCACCGTTTTCTTCACGGCCAGGCCACACACGAGCCAGACTGGGGCCCCTCTCTCTCCCTGAGTGCAGAACCCCCTTCCCAAACTGGGGGAAGTGGGAACATAAAACACCCTCCATTGGACCGAGTTTACTGAGTTCAACTAAACTCAGATGCAGAAAAAGTTAAAGTAACGTTCTCTTTTTGCATCCCTGTGTCCACGACTGTACCTATTCCTGCTGTACTCACAACCAAGGAAGTCTCGACTAGATGATGGGGGTGGAAGAATCAGAGTGTCACGTCAGCAGGGGAGAAGAAATAAGAGCTGGCCAGACAGACAGAGCGGGGACAATGCCCAGCGAGAACCAGCCACTCCACGTGGGTCTCGGGGGGCTGCTGGGGAAGCAGTTTCAACCGCGTCGGGGCAAAGCTGGGCGACAGGGGTTAAAAGGAGGAGGTTCCCACAGACGCACCTGGCAGGGCTGGCAGAACCAGGGTCTCCGAGAGCCGGGAGGGGGCCGATGAGGAGGCCTGGGAGGAGCCCGCAGAGAGGACGGCAGGAAGGGAGGGCCGTGGGGACGGGGCACGTGCAGGGGGATGACGGAAGGGCAGGGTTCGGCCCTGCAAGGAGGGGGCCTTGCCCCCGCCAGGAGCCAAGAGGTGGGGAGAGGAGGCACTGAGATGGAGGCGCTCGCGCCGGGGGTGTCACGCGGAGGGGCCCGGCACGTCTGCGGGCTGGAAGGCAGGAGGTCTGCCCGGAGTCAGCGGGAGGAAGCAGGCAGAGCGCTCGGGAGACCAGACGAGATCTGGCGTTGCCAGCAGGCAGGCTCGAGAAACTGCCACGCAGCTGCAGCAGGTGGCGGGTCGAGGCTGGCGCAGACCCGCCATACCCGGGCTGACCCTGCCTGGGGTCGTGGTCGCGTGTGGCACGTGCAATGTCTACGTGCAGAATCTGCAAAACCCTCTGAGATTCTGGGGCAACAGCTTCTGTTATTCTCTCTGGAGATTCTCTCTACAGACGAGGTGAGCCGAGGCTGAGAAAGGGCAGGCGACCTGGCCAGGTGGGAGCTGGGATTGAAATCCAGGTCACCGCGCTCTGAGGGATCTCGCACGGACTCGTCTGTCCGGTCTGTGCCTTGTGGCCCAGGAGCAGGGACAGGCTGAGGATGCCCAGGGTGCTGCTGCCTGGGAAGAGGGGGACTCCCGACTCTGAGGGGCTCGGGGACAGCAGCGGTGGGTGGAGCGAGGCAAGTGCCGAGAGGAGGTGTCGGCAGATGGGGAGGCGGCGGCAGCAGGGTGGGAAACAGACCCCCATCCGAGCGTTGAAGCTGGGAGAGTGGAGGACGGCGGGGCCGCTGAGCAGGATGGGCAGACACGAGGACAACGCCAGCCTCATCTTGTGCTGCTGCACGCTGCAGTCCTGCCCCACGCCGGGCACGGCTTTCACACACCCCTACATGCTTGGACGTCCTCGTGTCCAGATGTCTTTGGCCGTGTCGGTTTCCTGGCCTTGTACCAAACCCAGAGAGGAGGTAGGACCTGCCCAAGGTCACACTCCCTGTGCTAGGAGTTGAACCCCGTGTCTGGCCTGTAGCTTGACCTCATTTAATCCCTAGAGACCCGACGGGAGCGGTGTGGTCGCCCCACTTCACGGAGGAGGAGGTGAAGGCTAAGAGACGAAGTGACTTGTTCTAGGAAGCGGCAGGGCTGAGACTGAAGCCCGGATCTGTCTGGACACAGAGGTGGCGACGCCGGCAGGGATCCTGGACTCCAGCCCCAGCAGGAAGGAAGGCTTCCACGACGGGGCAGCAGGGAAACCAGTTGTCCCTGAGGCGCCCACCCGCAGGACACCTGCCCCGGGCCCTACAGCTGCCGAGAGGCTCAGCCTCTCTCCCTCCACCCCGCGCTGCGGCGGGACCAAGCGGCTGGGCACAGGCAGCAGGGGCACACGGGCAGGCTCTGTGCCCAGGGGACACAGAAAGGAACAGAGACCGGAGCGCCTGGCACGGGAGGGAGGCAGTGCCTGGGGTCATCACCGGGTCCTGTTGGTTCTTACGAACTGGGAGGGAAGTGCGGAGGAACCTGGGAGGGTCCCGGTGTCCCTGCGCCTGCTCCTCAGTCCTGCGGACACTTCCAGCTGCAGTGGACAGGGGCTTCTAAGCCGCCAGACCCAGGAAGGGCGCAGGGGCCGGCGCGCAGCGGTACGTACTTGACGTTGGTGTTGGTGCAGATGATGTACTCGATCTCGTCGGAATAGGGGTTCTGGAACGTGAAGCTGCTGGTGCGGATCAGCATCCACTCCCGGTTCTTGGTGCGGAACCGATACATGACCGACAGCACCTGGCCTTTCAGCTTCACCACCTGAGAAAACATCAGCGGAGGGCGTCAGCGGGGGTGGGACGGTGCCAGACAGGAGGAGGGAGAGGCAGCGGGATCTCAGAACAGGGGGCTGTGGCCAGGAGACAGCAAGAGGCGGGAGCAGTTAGGGACGGGAACCTCTCCGTCCACTTCCCAGGACACGAGTCGCTGCATTTGGGCCATGCTGTGACCACCGCGTGAGGAACCGACGCGTGAACACCCACTTTATGTCAGGACTTTTTATTCAGCTTTTACAAATCAGACCATGAAGACTCCACAAGCCAGAGTGTTTCTCTTTTTGCCTTGGCTGCTAGGGTACCCTGGGTTTTGTGCTAGTACCCCCCAAGTTATTGCCTCAGTCAGGTATGTGGCCATATTGCATTCATGGATTTATTTCTTCTGCTTCACATAAAAGATTCCTGACCTCCGCTTAACACTGTGAAATGGATTCAGTATCCTCTCTGGGAGGAAATGTGATAAAATGATAAATTTCTATGCATTATTAATTTACATGTATCTATTACTATGTTTATACTGTAATGTGATTTCAAATGTGTTTCTCAGATACATCCTCACAAGAGTTTGGTGAGGTGACTTCTATTATTTACGGATAATATTATTACACTAAGACTCAGAGAAATTAAACAAGTCACCCAAGATGAGACGCCTTTGGTGGAAAAGCTGGACGGGAGGCAGGATCTTACATCCGAATCGCAAGATCGCCTCCGTGGCTATACAGGTCGCTCTCCCGTTCTACAAAGATCCGGGGCAGTCCCCATTACCCCCGGGGGCGCGTCCCAGGACCCCCGGCAGATGCCCGAACCTGCAAATAGGACTGAACCCTACAGATGCTACGTTTTCTCCCATCCGCACACACCTACGATAAGGTTCAATTTACAAATTAGGCCAGTAAGAGATTAACGGTAACTAGTAATGAAGTAGAACAATTACCACCGTGTGCCGGCGCCACGACGCCTGCGCTTTGGGGCCACTGCTGAGTGCGATAGGGGTCACCCGGATGTAAGCGCCGCGGAGCTTTGCTCTGATGACCGACCGACTGCTCGGTGACTGACAGCAGGCGGCACACAGCCCGGGGGCCGCAGCCCAGTCCGACGGCGCACGCTTCCGTCATGCTACGCAGAGACTGGGAATTTATGAATTGTTCACGTCTGGAACTTCCCATTCATATTTTCAGACCAGGGCTGACCACTGATAACTGACAGCCGGGGCAGTGGGGAGCGCAGCCGTGCGTGGGGGCTACTGCGCACGCCGTATGCACACGCACGACACAAAGACACGTAGTACGCGTGCAGGCGTGCGGAAGCGCAGACAGGATGAGAAGGAACATGAACGGGTCTGGGTCTGGGCCTGGGCGTGGCTGCGCCCCCAGGACGAGATGAGGTGGGAGCTCTCCTCTCCCAGGACGGCAGGGCTGGTACCTCGCCGGGCCTGCCTGACCCAGAGATCGGAGATCTCAGGTGAGATCTCAGGTAACAGTGGGGACGTCTTGGTTCCCTGAGGACCCCACCCCGGCCCGGGGCCCAGCAAGGAGCCGGCACGCAGAGCACACGTCCCAAACTGAGTCCAGGGGTCTGTGGGCCCCACGGCCCGGAATGACCGTCCTCTCTCCGTCCACAGGGGAAGCCAGAGGAGACCCAGGCCGAGGGCGTCAGCCTGCTAGGAAGGCTCCCTGGCAGGACGTCCGTTGTGATAAATAAACGGCGGGAAAGTTCCAGGACAGTGGGGCCCCTGGCACCGCAGGAGGAGGCGGAGTGTGGGGTGAGCCAGGCTGGGCCAGTCTGTGGCCCCAACAGGACCCTGGCTCTTCCCTCGCAGGGGCAGAGGTCAAGGCCATGCGCCCCCTCAGGTCAGCATTCTGGGGCGCTGCCGTGGGGTCCTCCTCTGTGTCTGCACCAAACAGAGGGGAGATGGGTGGCCACCAGCCACGCTGTCTGCCAGACCGACGCCTCCTGCATGCTGAGGAAACGCGGCAAGGGCGCCCGCTGTGTGTCTTCAGCTGGAGCGTCTGAGACGGTGCGGACGTGTTAACTCCACGCAACTCCACAGGACACACTGCCGGTGTGCAAAGCTCGGCCTGGGAGCCCTGGACAGAGAGCGGAGGAGGGGAGCAGCGGCTGCACCCTCCCGGGGCCAGGCTGCAGGCGAGGCGCCTTGTCGTGCGAGCTTGCGTGGTCCTCGTGACTGTACTCAGCGAGCCTCGGAGCGGTCGACGCCTGCCCGAGGCCTCGGGGTGGGGGCAGAGCGCGGACGGGACCCCAGCCCTGGCCCGGAGCCTTCCCATGGGCCCCTGCTGCCAAGGCACAGGCTTGGCTCCCAGGAGCTTCTCCTCTAGCCGAGGCGGGATCGGCGTGCAGATGACCGTGACCACGAGAGAGCATGCTGAGTGCCACCGCAGAAACCCGGGGCCGAGTGCGCGGTCTGCGGCGGGTGAGGAGAGACGGCCTATCGTCGGGGGACAGAGGGGGCTGCGCAGGGAGGCGGGGTGGAGCGTGGTCGGAGGGGCGCAGTGTTGGCAAGTGGGGCGTGTGGGGGGGGCTCTCCCGGCAGAGGGCACAGCGTGGGCAGGTGTGAGGGGCTGGGCCACGCGCGTGGGCCGTGCAGGTAAGAGCAGGCGCGATGCAGACACAAGCGAGCGCAAGGCCCAAGCAGAAGAGCCGCCCAGCCTGTCCTTGCCATCGGCACGGACGGCGGGCAGGAGGGGGTTGGGGTGGGAGCCTGCTCCGAACGTCCCATCTGACTTCTGGGTAACCGTGACCCGGACGGGCCTCTGAGGGCAGACGTGGACCTCCAGGCCCCCGGCTGGCACGCCGTCCCCGCACCAACTCAAATGCCTCACAAAGCTGATCACGTGCTACGGTTTCCTGCCCGGGCCCCTCCGATGCTTTTGTTTAAACACGGAGTTCGGGCTGGCTGCAGCCGGCACGGCCACCACCCTGCTCCTGCAGGAACGGGCCCTTCCCTGTGTCAACACTGTCCCCCGCCTCGGCTGCCGGCGGCCGCAGCCCAAAGAACACAAGCCCGGGCCAGGCCCGGCGTGCTCCAGGATGTCCCTGCGGCTGCTGCGCCGCTGCCCGCTGTGCCCTGGGCCACTGGGGGTCCCTGCCTTGGCCTCCCCCCCCTGAGGAACGAGCGGCCGCTCAGAGCGAGAGTTACTTAATCCGGACACCGGGGCGGGATCCGATGCTAAATTCCTTCTTTTCCTTGTCAAAACCAAGCAGGTTCTGACAGCGTCAGCAGTCCGGGTGCTGTCGGACCGAGAGGCCCGTGCTGGCGTGTGGTGCTGTGAGTGACGCTCTGGGGAGGCCCGGGCACCAGCTGTCACTGCCTCGCTGTGTGACCTGGGGCAGGCAACAGAACCTCTCTGAGCCCCAGTGTCATCCTGTGAAAAAATGGGATGGCAACACTCACCGTGTAGCTCTGAGGACGACACAGGACAACGTATGAAAGGGTCTGGCTAGTGACGGGCACAGCGTGGCGGCCCCGTCACTGTTGGAGCTTCATTCCCACAGCCCCGGAGAAAGGAAACCGGCCCCACCCAGACCCGACTGCGCCAGACGACGCCAAGATGATGATAATCTCCGCGCATCTAGCAGGCGCATGGTATGGAGAGACACACCCTAGCTACGCCTGACCATCCTAGCTTCACAGCTTCCCAACGAAAGCCGCCTCCCCTGGGCTCCACTCCATCCAGACCGCTTCGCCCTGTGCAGGCGCTAAACTCAGTGCAGGACAACGTGGTGCGAAGCACAGACACGACGTCTGCCCACGGGCAGGTTAGGCTCTAGGAAAGAAGACACAAAAACAAAAAAACCACCCAAAACAAGCCAAGGGACAAATAAAACTGAAACAGTTGTTGTGAAGGAAAACAAGGGGCTGAGGAGGAGGCTGGGCTCTCGCCTAGCGGGGAGGTCACTGACGGCGTCTCTGAGACGTACGAGTTGAAACCTAAAGGATGATATGCCAGGCCCATGACGAGTGAGGGGAAAGCATCCGGCCAGGGAGCGGCACGTGCCAAGGCCCTGCGGTGGGGAAGGCGTGTTGGAGGAGCCAGAAGCAGCCGGCGTGATTGGAGCGCAGCCCCCGCGTGAGGATGAGACAGGGATCCGAGAAGCTGCGCAAAGGAGCTTGCGCTCAACTCTAGATGTCCTGGGAAGGTTTTACGTAAGACGTGGCTAAACCGAATTTGTGTTTTCAGAATGGCTTAGAGCGGCGCAGGAGCGAAGGCAGAGAGGCCAGCAGGGCAGTTCCTGCCACGGTCAGGAGGGGGCTGGGGGCCTGGTCGGTGGGCGGGACGAGGGGGGCTGGGTGTGCGGAGCGAGATCAGGAAGATGTTCCTGGTCTCTGGCCTGAGTGGCAGGCGGTGGTGTGCGGGGCCTGGGAGGCCTCCGTGCCGAGGGTCACGGGGCACACGAGGGCGTGGAGCGGGTGCCTGCGATGGGCGGGGCGGGAAGCACCGTCTGGGCTGCAGTCGGGCGGCAGGATCAGTTGGGGAGACGCTGCAGAGCAGGGAAGGGCAGCCGCGGGCAGAGCGCTGGGCGGCGCGGCTGGTGGAGGGGGGAGGAGGAGGAACAGCACAGGGGGCTGAGAAGTGGGAAGGAACCGGAATGTTCTGGAAGGGAAGAGCGGAGCGTGCAGGAGCAGGTGGTTAAGAGATCTGCCCGAACCCGTGGCATCGACTGGAGCCTCTTCAACGTGCGCAGACATGGCGGTGCCTTCACGGAGTGCGCGTTCCCGCAGGTGAAAGCCCAACTATTGCTCCCTCTGGAAAGTGTCTCCAAGTCCTCTTTCCTGGGACCCTCCCGCTCTGCTCCTGCCAGAGCCCTGCGCGGAGAGGAAGCGCGTCCTCTCGCGTGGCGGCGGAGCCCGGGCTCAGGAGGGAACAGCCTCGGTTTGACTCCTGGTCCTCACGTCCTCTCACCGCGGGGCAGGAAGACGCTTTGGCTTCACTGAGCCTCTCTGCACTCACCGTGACAGGAAGATGACAGCGGCCGCCTGCCACAACTGCCTGCTGTGAGGAGTCAGCGCAGTCGCGGTGCGGCAGGACTCCCCCCCGTGTGTGGCACACAGTAGGTGCTCAGCAAGCAGCGTCCGACAGCAAGGGCGCGCCCAACGCCCGTACTCGGGTGGCCGTGCTCTCCAGACCCCTCCCCGCGGCGTCTCCACGCGGGCGTTGTCGCTTCCCGCAGCCGCGCCTCCTGCCTGAGCCCCCGCCCTGCTCCAAGTCGGGCTCATGGCCTCTGACCAGGACGATTAAAAAGCCTCTGACGCCTCTGTTTCCAGTTATTTCCCACATCTGTTTCTTCGGCCCACCTGGGCTGCAAGTCATTTTCAGACGACTCTGCTTAAAATGCTGGAAGGAATCCTCGCGGACCTTCCGCTGCCCGAGGGGAGAAGGGAAACTCCCATGTGGCACGAGAGGCCCTTCCCGGGCTCCTTCGCCCACCGCCCAGCTGCTCCACGGGTCAGCCGGGCCACTGCGCTCTCAGGAGCTCCCACAGGCCACGTTCTTTTCCATCTCTGGCGCTGCCCCTTGGTCTAGGACGTTCTCTCATTCCGTCTGTGTTCATCTTTTGACACCCGCCCCAGTGGTTCCCTCCCCTGGGAGACTGTTCCCGCCTCCTCCCTACGCAGCCAACCCCTGCACCCTCTGCATCTGCCATCTTTTCCTCACGACTCTGTGGGGTTCCTCTCCCGTCTCATGGTGGCTGCCTCCTGATGTGCGTCTGTCCTCCCCACTGCACTGTGGCTCCTTCCCGGCAGGGCCCTGGCTGATGCCTCAGGTGGGAGCTGGCAGCCTCCCGGGCACGTAGCAGGGCTGACGTCCTGCCAGCTGTGCCCACAGGTCCCCAGGCTGTACCTGGGCATCGGCAGTACGGACCTGCTGGAAGCTCTCGCGCAGGTGGCTCTGGTCCTCGGGGTGGCAGAATTCCAAAATGTCCTTTCCCAGAAGATCCTAAATAAGAGAGACAAGCTTGCATGATCCCGGATTCCATTTGCAACTGTTTATCCACTCACCGCTAGACAACCGTGTTCATTTCCGTCCCCTTTAGCCTGTCCCACTGGGTGCTCGTCTTCCCCGGGAGCCCTCAGGGAGCTGGCACCCCGCGCCCATGCTCGCTCCCGCTGGCACACACGGTCCCGCTGGCACACACGGTCCCACTGGCACGCTCGCTGCCGATCTCTGACTTTGCCAAGTGCCGCATCAGCAGCTGCAAATGCAATTTCATTTTTGTTTGCCTTGGAGAGGCAAACTGTAATAAACGTATTTTAATAAACATAAAAGGAAAGCAAAATGGTAGCCTGAGGACACATGTGCTGCCTACGAAAACCGGAGTTGCGTAAGCGTGGACGCTGGCTCTCCGGGGCTGAGTAAACGAGGTTACCATAACATAACCGCACTGGGTAAAACCTGCTCGCTATCCACCTTCGTTCACCTGCGTTTTATCCAAGGGACCCAGCATTAACCCCAAACACAGGGTGTCTCACAGTGAAACAGACCAGGGTAAGGTAAACCGCTACGAGGCAAGTTCAACTGTGTTGCAGGAAAGCGGTCCAGTTGGAAGCGTCTGAAGCAGCAAAGGATTTACACTGACTCACGGATCAGAACCCAAATCAGCAAACGGCCTCAGTGGGAGTTGGCGCCGGCGGTGGCGGACAGGTCTCACCTTTGCGCCAGGGAGCACCCAGATGCTCACGGAAGGTGCCAGTGGATAAACGAATCTGGCGGGAAACCTACTGCCTTCAGAGGTTCCGGTGAATTTGGAAACAAATCCATTTTCCCCTTTCTTGCATCTGAGAATCTCAAAGTTTGCGGAAACCCAGAGATGCGGAACTACACGAAGGCTCCTGCGTTTCTGGTGCGAACTGTTCCCAGCTATTAAAGATGTGCATAACTAAAATACTCAGTCAGCAGATCCCAGATTTTGTTCCTTAGAACAAAGATAGTTTTCTTTAAAACAATGCTTTTTATTTTGAAAGACATTTAAATCTACAGAAAAGTTGAAAGAATAACACAATAAACCCCTGTATATCCTTCACGTATATTCAACGATTGTCAATATTTGGCCACATTTGCATTTTGCCTTTTTCTGTGTGTATAAATACATACATATGCATGTCTGTGTGTATAAATACATACACAAGGATGTCTGTGTGTATAAATACATACACACGTGGTCTGTGTGTATAAATACATACACACGCAGTCTGTGTGTATAAATACATACACACGCATACTTAGCAATTTCTTGCTGAGTGTCTGAAAGTAAGTTGTGGACAACATGACATTTCTCCCCAGTGTGGACCTCACAAAATGACATTATCTTACAAAGTGACACATACCATACTATGCCTAAGAAGATAAGCAATTATTTGATAAAATCGCTCAATATTCCACGTGTATTAACACCTTGTGTGTCTCCCCGGTGTCTTTTCCAACGATACGTCTTCAGCCCAGGACGCAGTGAAGACTCTCACATTACATAGTGTTGTTCTGTCTCTTAGTCTGGGACAACAACTCCCGCCTTTTTGTGTTTCTCGTGACATTCACTTTTTTAAAAAAGAGTTTGGAACTAAGCCCTGAAAACGTGTCCCCTGTAAAAAAAAAAGGTTCCCGGTACCTGTGGACAACACAGGGTGGGCACATCTAGGTGGCATCTTCACCTGACTTTGCGGCTCTCTCACATTAATGAGCTTTGCGTTAGTCGATGAGATTGATGGATCACAGGGTCCCCTGCATTAGAACATCTCACTCCAGTTTGTACAAGGTCAGCTAGAGAAACAACGGCTGGGCAGGGAAGGGAGCAGGCACTTTAAGCGCAGGTGTTTACCATCCCTGCCTAGCTCTGCATGGACATCGCGCTGCCCAGGCAGGGCCAGGACCTCCAGGCTGTCCCCCCACACTGTCCTTGTGCTGTGTCCCAAATAGATAAGAACGTTCTAAGGAAAGCTAAAGCTCCATCCAACTGCCGAGAGCTCGGAACCATGCACCGACCTGGGGCTGGTAGCCGATCACGCTGATGCAGCGCGGGTCCACAAACGTGATGACGCCGTCGGCGTTGTGCCGGGACAGGAACTCTGTGGGCACCGACATGCCGTTCATGTCCACGCACACGGGCGAGCTGGTCACCTGGAGGGAGGACAGCCCTGCTGAGGCGGCGCTGGCAGAGACAGACGGAGACGGGAAGGCCCCACGCACCCTTCCGTGTCGTTAGTGCAACGAGTGCACCTTCGGCTAACTGTGACAGTCGCCACTTTCTCTACACGTCTGAGCTCCAGGTGCCTCCTCAGCCAATGGGAATACGGAATCCTACACTCGCACGGGGTGGCGGTGGCGTTCAAGAGAGACGCCGCGTGTTGAACTTTGGCAAGGCCTGGTCCTTAGTTGGTGCTCAATAGATGTTAATGCCCTGCCCTTCTCCCACCCTCCCTTTGCTAAGGATGGAAAATGAGCCTAAGGAACCGGTTAAAGTATTTGGAGCAGACACATCTGTGCACTGAATTTACCCAACTATTCTTCCTTCACCCATCTGCAAGAAATGCCCAGCGCTTGCCATATGTGAACGAAATTGCTTATTCGTGTGTCTGAAAACGGTCGGACCTGGGAAACCGGGGACTTCTGAACCCGTCTGCTGTGTTCCCTTCACAGCCGGGGAAGACCCTCGATGTCCTCAGGAGGACGGGCAGTCCCACCGGCCGAGCGGCTGCTGTGTGCGTCAGACACTGAGCAGGTTTAACTTGCACGAGACAAAAAGGCACATGGCTGCCCCGGAGGAGCTCGCAGGGACGCAGCCTGCGCTCAACGCACCACATGGTGACACAGGCAGGAGAGAAGACGTTGGAGGCGAGAACTCGAAGCTAAGAGTGCAGGGAGGAGGCAGGGATCGACTCTGACGAAGGAGCTCAGGGACGCACTGAGCTGGGTTTTGAGGGATGGGTGCACAGGAAGGACGCAGGAGGAGAAAGAGTTCCGGAAAGAGAAGAAGGGGACGAGGGACTCCAGGCAGGTGGGGCGTGCGTGGAGGGTTCGGGAGAAGGATGTGGGGAGGGGGAGGAAGGGGAGAGGCGGGTTGAGGTGAGCAGACCGTGGGGAGACGTGTGCGGTGGCTACGCAGGGCTGTGATGTGAGCAGAATTCGACTTGGCGGCAAATGGCGCAAGCCGGGGGGTGGGGGGTGGGCTGACGCAGCCCCTCCATGCAGCACGAGCCTGCTGCTCGTGGCTCTCGGGCCCCTTTTCTTCTTGATTCGGCCTCAGCCCTGTCCCGCAGAGTGAGACACGAAACCCGCCCAGCGCCGAGAGCACAGGCAGCCAGACCTCCGTCCCTGCGCTCTGCCACTCTGCGGTAATGAGCCTCCGTCTGAGACCGGAGAGGCTCTAGTCTGCGCTTACCTGGAGCCTCCCGATGGCCACGAGGCAGTATTTACTGCCCTGTCCCACGTCCGCGTCTTCCTCAGGGATGGTCATTCCTGCAGCGAGAAACGCCAGCGTCAGCGACGTGCGCGGGGTGCGTGGGAAGGGGAAAGTGCCCGCGGTTTTATCATCACGATCAAAAACACAGATCCACAGTCGGCCACTCGGGGCTGGGAGACCGGCCAGTGAATTAGCCAGCTCCTCGCCCTTCCCCTGCCCCTGGCTCTGCCTCGCACCTGTGGATGCTTCCGTGGCACGTTTCTACCTGCATCCACGGACGATGCAGGGAAACTGAGGAAGACGACATGGAGATGATTCGTCCACACATTCGCACAGTTTAGCAAGCACTTAGGAGGAAATTTCAGTAAGAGGCCTACGTGGGTCTTTCATGGTTATCTCACTTATCTGCGGACAGAGTATCGAACAAAGGCCGTCAGAGGCAAAAGAAAAACAAACAAAAACCACTGAAGCTGAAGTGGCTAATTGCCAGGCAGGGAACACAACTAGCATCTCCCCTCGTGGGGGAAAGCCGGGGTCTTTAAGGGCCAGAAGGGAGAAACTGGTGACGGTTACACTGATAAAGCGCTGGACGCTAGTGCTCCAGACAGGAAGGACTTGGTTAAAACAGTCCTCATTGTTCACCGGGGTCAGAAACGAGTTTGGTCCAATACGGGTCTGGCTTTGGGGCCTCTCACAGTGCGAGGTTCTTGGACATCTGCAGCTGGTTAGAACGGCCGCAGTGAAAACAAACATTCCTTTTTGATATCTCCTAGGCTGCTAAGCAGAAAATTTCCTTCTACACCACATAGCACTTAACATAAATATTTCCGCACCAGGTCAGACCAAAGGCTCCCGATGATAGAGTCACACAAGTGCTGTGACAGCCCCTCCCCGGGGACGTCGAAGGGCGTGTTCGACACCACTGTGGTTCCACGAGCCCGAGAGGTGTCACCCCTCTTGCTCCCACCACACTCCTCCCTTCTTTCTGTCCTTGTCCATCACCCCCGCAGGCACCCGATCTCTTTAGTTTCGGGGTCATCCCTGCCGTGTTCCTTCTGCACGACGAGCAGACACTGCACATTTTCTCACATCCTCTTCTTCCGTCTGCGAAGGGCACTGGAGACGCTCTTCGGACTGGGCTTGTTCACTGAACGGCGCCTCCCGGAACTCACCCCTCGGTCATTCACACCGCTCTTCCTCAGGTCCTTTCCAGAACCACATAGCGCTTCACCCTGTCGATGCGTGGCTTATTCAGCCACCCTCCCACGCAGGAACACGGCAGTTTCTAGTATTTTGCAATTAGAAACCACGCTGCAATGAACAACCCGGGCACACGCATTTTCTTGCATTGCAGCTGTATCTCAGGGCAGCTCCCTGCAAGTGGGATTGCGGGGTCAGAAAGCAAGTGCACACGCAGTTTTGTTTTGCCAAACTTCCCCGCAGAAGGGGTGCGCCAACGTGTACCCCCACCCGCGACGGTGGGAGGCCGCTCCCCACAGCCTTGGCCAATGGAATGTGTGGCCACGTCACTCAGCTTCTGCCAGTCTGCCAGGTGAGGCACCACCTCTCGGTGTTGTCCTGCTGTGCGTCTCTCTGTGAGTGAGTCTGAACATCGTTTCCTGGGTTCGAGGACATTTTATATCTGGCTTCTCGGTGGCTTGTCTGCTGATGCCTCCTCCCTGTTTTCCTATTTTGTCTTCTGCCTGTCAACTTGTAAGGGTTGCCTGTACATCTGGGACATTTTTAAGAGTTCACAGTATATGCTGTTGTGAATATGGTTTCCTAGATGATCCCTGTCTTGCCTTTGCTTATGATGATTTTAAAATGTCAAAAACTGTATGTGGTCAGATTTACCAATCATTTATTGCCTCTGGAGTCCAAGTCATGGTCAGAAAGCTACTGTCTACGTAAAGGTTAAAGAAAAATTCACCCTTGTCTCCCTGTGAGTGACACTTTCATGGTTTCCTTTCATACATTTAGATCCCTAGTCCATCTGGAGTTACTCTTATGCAGGGTGTGGGATAGGTAGCTAATTTTATCTTTCTATAAATGGCTATCCAGTTGCCTTCCTAACATTTATTAAAAATACCCATCAATACATGAGTGGATTAATAAAATGTGGTGTATGTATACCATGGAGTTCTACTCAGCCATAAATAACAATGGTGATCTAGCACCTCTTGTATTATCCTGGATGGAGCTGGAGCCCATTCTTCTAAGTGAAGTATCCGAAGAATGGAAACACAAGCACCACATGTACTCACCATCAAATTGGTATTAACTGATCAACACTTATGTGCACACATGGAAGTAACATCCATCGGGTGTCAGGCAGGTGGGAGGAGGAGGAGGGGATGGGTATATTCACCCCTAAGGGGTGCGGTGCTCAAAGTCTGGAGGATGGGCATGCTTGTAGCTCTGACTCAGGTGGGGCAAAGGCAATATATGTGACCTAAACATTTGCACCCCGTAATATGCTGATAAAAAAAAAGACCCAAATACAAATGAATAAATAAATAATCCAAATAAACACATAAAAAAATGCAGTGATTTGAGACGCCGCCTTATCCTATGATACATCCCCACACATGCCTGGACCCTCTGCTCCACGGGCCGCTGTCCGTCCCGGCCCTGGACCCAGCACTTTAATTTCAGGGCGTCACTGTACGCGTTATGTCGGGAAGGACTGGTCCTCCCTATAGTTTTTCTCTTTCAGTGTGTTCTTGGCTATGCTTGAAGGTGTATTTTTCCACATGAACTTTAGTATCAACTTATCTGACCACATAAAATAGCTTGATTGCCCTGAATGTGGAAATTAGCGTCGGAGCTAACATCTTCATAGCCTTGCATTGCCCTACCCGGGCATAAGGACTCTCCCATGTGTTTAAGCCACTTTTGTGTCTTTCGGAGTGTTTCGAAATTTTCCTCATATGTACCTGTTCTTTGTATTAGTGCTTGTCTTTATGAAAATTACGACTAAGTATTTAATCTTCTTTGTTACTATGATGAATAAGGTTTTTCTCTACCATCATGCCCTCGGTTTATCGTTTACGTATATGAAGGCTCTTGTTTTTTGCATATTAACACTGCATTGTGCTACTTCACTGAGTTATTTGTTTCAGTTAGTTTATCACTACTTCACTAGGCCTTTCCGGGTGTACTGGTATATGATCTAAAGACAGAGATAGTTTTCCTTCTTTTTTACAGATTCTTTTGCCTGCGATTTCTCTTATTTGATTGTATGGGCTGACATCTCCCTTACAGTCGAACAGCAGTAGAGACAGTGGGCATTCTTGCCTCGTTCCTGATCTCAGTGGCGATGTCTCCAAGGTTTCTCAATTAAATAAGACACTGCCTCTTGGACTAAGATATAACGCACACACATATGCATGTTTATCATGTTAAGAAATTACCTCTCAATCATTATTTAGCATTTCTGCAAATCTCTTTGATGGCTCGCTAAACGGCGGCCAGCTGGGTTCTAGTACCTGCTCTGCACCCGGTCTGTCACCATATGCTGTTTCAGTTGAGGTGCGTGAAGAAAACCTGGCCCCACGCAGATGTGTAGCCGGAAAAGCAGGAAGCTCTGCAGAAGACTGTGGATACTCTTCTTTGGTGTTTTTCCAAATCTTGACAAGTGGGGGCTTCTTAAAGACTAATTGCAATACGAAGTCCAAGCTATATTAATGACATTTTATGCTGACATATTCAAACAGACTGGCCTGTCTAACACTTCGGGTGGATCTTTTACCCACACACGATTTTATGCATCATGTACTGGTCGTTTGGAAAATACGGCTTCAACATATTACACAGATCTAAATGTTGGCACGTTGTAGAACATTTAAAAAAAATCATGCTTGTTAATGTCGTCACGTATATCACCAGAAACATCTTTAGATACTGGTCAAGACTGGGGTGGTGGATGCGAGCTTTCCAAAATTCACATTTTCATTAGAAGAATTCTTCATTAGAAGAATCTTACCATCGACAAGAAATACCGTCAATCATTCTCGAAATGGCAGGCTGTTTTTTTTTTTTTTTTTACAAAATATCTGCCAAGTGCACAGTTTGAACAGCCAGCGTGTTTGTCAGTCATTCGTTCAAGTGCAAACTCTGTCTCAGGCAAACAGAAGCCAGCTCGGCTCGCAGCCCAGCACGCACCCGGGCTCCCCCGCCACGCCGTGTCTGCGGCGGAAGGTGCTTCACGCAGCTTCCCGTGCTGGGGTTCATACGATTCGTAGTTTTCCTGTCTCCTCCAGGACGTTCTCACGTGAAACCAGCTTTTTAAAATCTATTTATTTATTTGTTTTATCGCGCGTGTGCGCTCACGAAGGATACGATGGCTGCCGGGAAGGACGGTTTGGTGCCACCGCCTTGATTACCGCGAGGCCCAGGCAAGTTTTACGCCCCGTGCTTTTCACAGCATCAGCGCGAACGCTAACACGGTGAGAAGGACACATAGTATCTGAGAGCTGTTACGAAAATCGTGTACCTGTGTGTGCCCCGGAAACCGTCTCGGGGACTCCTGGGGTCCCTGGGCCGCACTCTGAGAACTGCTGCTGCCTTGCGTGTTGCTGTGGCCCGGAGTTTGTCCTCCTCCGTGTCTCTTTTAAAATCCTTTCCCCGCTGCCTCTATTTCTGACCACACGTGGATATGCCCCAGACTGTGTCTCTGGGCTCCCAGACCCTGACTTACCTACTGCAAATGTCCGCGCAGGTCTTGTAGGTCTTCCAAACCCAATCGTGCCCAAATCTCTCTGCCAGCACCCTTTCCTCTTCTCACTTCACGTGGAAGGGGCTGCCAGTGACCTGCCTCACACACGTGCTCCCCCTCGTCCATGCCAAAAGCACCACGATTTGCTCAGAGTGGCAACGTGCCCACTGCGTCAC